TCCAGAAACACTACAGTTTGTCTTTTGGAGTCTTATATGTGCACTGCCCCCAGTTGAGTGACGTTCTTTCTCTTCTGTTAGAAGTCGTATCATCCCTTAGAGATAGTCTCTGCCAAGAAACAGCTAAGTGCCTCTCGCCAATATCCCTGTATTACAAACGTGAGCTCCGCTAATTACTTCATCTGTCTATGCTTAACAGTCATCTTGACACACTTCCTCCGCCCTCCAACTTCCATGTGCCGCTGCGTCCTTGAGCCGTTTCATCAAGGGTTAAATGTCGGTTGCTGCTTTGCTCTCTCCTCTTGCCTTGACCTTCGCAATGTCAGAGGTCAGAGGTTAAATCAAAAAGTATTTCCTATCCAACAAAACAGTGCCTCTCAAGGAAGCCTTTGATATGATTCTCCATGTTTTGCCAGTTGGTACCAAACATTTACTGGCCCACAAAATGTTTTACCAGCTTGAAAGAACATAAGTAGGAAAATAAATACATCAGCCCTCTTTATGACTTAGGTGGTGTAAATCACTATGCTCCCTGAGTGAGCGGACGAGTAACTGTTTGCAAGTCTGATTTATTAGGAACTATTTACTGCACTGGCCAAGGTACTCTGTAAAAGATGAGTGTCAGAATGAGAATGCTCTCTCCTCTCTCTCTCCTGCCTTCCTTCTTTGTGTGTCTAGACTAAAAGCCCCCAGTAAAAATGCCTTCTTTGAGAACAAGATGCTGACTGCAATTCATCAACTTGCTTGTCCGAAAACAAAATCTCTCATTTTACTCCAAACAATGTTTAGGTTGTCTGAAATATAAACATCCTTAAAACTGCCCTTGAAGTCTCTGTAAAAACATTCAACATTTTTTTTAGGGAGGGGGCAGAAGCCCGGGATAGCCAAGGCTTACTGAGATTTCTTTGCCTTGGTACCACCCGCAGAAGATACTACTCACAGGTGAAACCACCACTATGACACTGAAAGCTTTGTTTCCAGTTTTTTTAAGTGAAAAATTTCCGATTTTTTCACTGGGAAATTGAAAACAACAGGTTTATACCTGCCCTGACTGCCAGCATATAGCTAGCGCAACAGTGAGGAAAGGAGCCAGAATCCATGAAGAACTGTTAGGATTTTAAAAACTTGTTTTCCCTTTGGGTAAAGCTGAGGTAGGTAAAAGTAGCCAGAAGTAGCCTTTTTAGAAGTTCTAGTTAGAGATTTATTTTTATCAAAAGAAGAACTTGAGAAGCAGAGTCCCCTCCATCAATAGTAATAACCTGACATGTTAAAGGTATTTCTTTTATTTTATTAAAACAAAAAAAGACTGAAAAACATGCCTCTAATCTTCCTAAAGTTTGCAATGGAAACCTACGGTTGGGAGCTGAGATGCTTCAAATTGCCAAAGAACTAGCTAATTTCTATTTCTTTGTGTGATTTCTACTTAGTCAATTTCTATTTATTATTTATTTATCCTTTTAAAGAAAATATTATAGAGTTCACGCTTTCAGTGAGTTTGGAATTTAAAAACATTAACGCGAATACTGTGCGAAGTTTTCCTCTTTAGGACACTGAAGGGGTGATTCCCTTTCCCATGAGGGTCAGAGGGCACATTTGAAGTCTGCATTTTCCAAACATAAATTCCCACAGTAGTCCTCTGCTTGCACATTTGTTCCTCTCTAGACCCAGGTACTTACGGACACAAACAGAAATATGTGTGGATGCTGAGATTTACCGTAATTCTGAGTTTGTCTCCTCAGAGAGAGCTCTGACACTTTGCATACCAGTTTTAGAAAGTGGCATTCTTGAAGCTGTGAAGTTTCAGAATTTGATGGCATAAATACAGTTTTCCATGGAGTCTTTGCAATTTCATTTGCATATGACATACATATAAGGAAGATGACCCTGAGTTAGCCCTAGTGATAGGATTGAGTAATTAACATATAACATTCCCTAATTTATAAAAAAATTCTGATTTTAAAAACATGCAATGAAAACACAAGGTAAAAAAGGCAGAAAATTTGAAATCACTAGAATTTTTAAACTCTTAAAACTAACCATCCTAGAAGATGAAAAATTTAGCAACTTCAAATAAATCAGAACGCAATATCCACCAGGAAATTCAGACAAGTATGAATTTCTCATAATGCGCTTGTGAGTTATGGGACAGGCTTTGTTATGACCCGTTTCCTAGATGTATAATTAGGGTAAAGACAAATTAATTAGACCAGTAATTGGGCCAGAACAAAAAACTTGTCTCCTTATACGCTGTTGAGACCTTTTCTTTACATGGAAAATATTTACTTATGCTAAAATCTTCATCACCTTGAAAGAGAATCAGAATGTGACCCCTCAAAGTGCTTTTGATGAAGAAAGGATATGAGCTTGAGTTAATCCAGATTGCCACATGGAAAAGCCATCTGGGAGGGCATTTTGAAAAAAACAGATGGAAAAGGAAGAGATTCCTTTGAATGTAGTGTACAATTTATATTATCCTCCGTGAGCCTCCATGCAGTTCCCATGTTTATATAATTTATCACTGTGTCTTTAGACAATACAAATTAGGTAGTCCAATGAGCTCATGTTCTTTTTTTTCTTTAATTCTAAGTCTCAGCTCCTCTCCTTTAAAGGGCAAATTTGAAGCAGGGTTTATAAAACAGCCAGACTGATCAGTGAGGGTCTACCTAGTACACTGGTGGCTCCTTTGTGATTCCTATTTCTCTTGGGTAAAGACTGTGATTTCATTTACATTATATCTTGGTGAATTAAAGCCTAATTTGCAAACAGTTCCAGACAAATTAATGATTTCTCCTTGGATGCATCTGTTCCTGCCACTCTACTTTTGTATATGCTATTCATTTTATCTATAACAGTTTCTTTTCTTAATGGTTCCATTTTCCCTAATGCAACTGAACAACACCAAAATCAAACAAAGCGACAGAATTCCGCTTTTCAGGAAACCATCCCCTTAATAACCCATGACATCTTACTCATCCATCTGTATCCCCTGTGTGGCCGATATCCACCTGACATTCTGTGGTCATTTGTTCAACAAATGCTCAAACATCTTTTCATGTGTTTTCACTGAACGCTGTACCTTTCCTCCCCGGCTGCACATTAGGATCACATAGAGAGTTTATGGTACACACTTATGCTTGCGTCTCCAGCGCAAATAAACAGAATTCATGACGACTGGGGCCCGTGGTACGTAGGTAAATGCTTACCAACTTTTCTCTAGGAAAAAAAAAGTCTAGATGTGCACTATTTGTTAATTTCCATGGTTAAATACCCTCTGTGGAGTGGATTTCAAGCTACACACTTGACATCACTGACCACAGGATTTGAAGAGACACTCACATTTGGTTCACAAGGGCTCCCTCCGGCATAGCACTGGGTAGTACCCAGGCATGTGTGTATGTGATACATAGTCTCTAGGCAATTCTAACATGCAGCCAGTATAAGGAGCTCTGAATTAGATTCACATTTCTCAGATGCATGACTCTTTTATTCAACTCACCTTCCCTAGAACACAGACTAAATCAGTGCTGTTGACAAACCACGGGAGGTTATTAGCGTGTTACAGCTCACGGCCCATGGGGCAGCAGCGAAAACGCTGCAGCGTACCTTTGACTCAGAAGCCAGAACTGTCCACTGTCTCTGGAGTTTCTTACTTATGAAGGGTACAGCCTGAATAAATACACAGTGGTACCTCGGTCATGAACTTAATTCTTTCCCCAATTCTAGTTACAAACAGAACTGAATGAGAACCGAATCAAGTTCAACAGTTAGGTTCAATGCTGATCTTAGGGGAATGTTTGATTAAGCTCTTGTTCAATTCATTTTGGGACCAGAAATGTGGAAAGAAGGAAGTTTGTGAACCAAGGTACCACTGTACTGGGGATTTTTGTTTTTAATCGTATCCTTGCTTTTATCCCAGTTAAAGTACATGTGCAATTTTTGGAATTCATTTCTTCTAGATCCTTACATGTGTTTAAAAGCTTCAATTTTCTTCCAAGCACCGTCTTTAAAAATAAGGGATAAAACGAGACTGCCTAGATAGTCTTTTCCAGGTGTCCTAAGAGGATAGGATGAAAGGTACATTTTTTTAAAGGCCTCTAGGGAAAAAGATTCTATAGATATTTTAAATTATATGACCGAAATCTACAAGGAACTTGATAACTCATAACACTGCTTAATACTTTGCTTTAATGGGCTCTACATGGTGCTGCCTAGAGTTATTTAAGGTATCTATTTAAACCCAGAAAGAAAGAGAACAGCAGGACACCCTTACACTTTAATAGGTCACATTCTTGGCAATCATTATTAATTTACTCTTCAGTTTTGTTTTTTTTCCAAGTTACATTTCCTCAATAAATATGCATTTTATGCTTTGATGTACAGACTATAGTTAGGACAAAGAACTCCAGGCATATGGGACAAAGAAATTCAAGCTGGTTTCTACTTTGAATATTGCCAAAAATTTCAGAGTCATTTAACCAAGGCCTGAGAGTTCATTAATCTGCAAAATTAGTATAATTTAATGTTGTAGTTTCCCAACCCTATTGGGAGTGTTTTAGGATCAGCAAATGTTATAGAGTCTATAATATGGACTAATTCAATGAGCAGATGTTTCTGGTCACAAATCAAGAAATAATTTGCAATTAATAACTTGTATTAAGTCAAAAAATACAGCAGTCAAATACAAAGAACAGAATTTCATGTTTAAGAACTGGTAAAACACATGATAAAACTAAATATTTACACGTGGGACACTGAAATATAAGTTTTCATTTTTAAAGGATTTACATTTAAATGCATTGAAGATCTAGATTTTGAGTGTTTTTAAACACAGTTTCAGACTATATATAATCTTAACTTTGTAGGATCCAACACGTGTTAAGAATGTACCAATCTGGAAAAATACTCATTAAATGCTTAATTTGGGAACCTTTATTAAGTACATATTTTACTTTACTTTTTTATACCAATGGGAAAGGAAAAATTATAATGACTGTCTTTACCTGAGCAGGCTTCTTCTGAACGACTTGTTGTGGCTAAAGACAAAACAAGAACAAAAAAGAAACATTATTTGAAAAAGAAATGCATACAATGAAAAACATTAAGCATAATTATTTTAAACATAGATGACTGCAAAGCAAAGAAGAAAATTTGAAGTTCAAATGGTTCATCTCTGGGTAAAAGGGTTATTCATCATCTTTGTTGAGAAAATACGATGAAGGTTATCTCAATGAAAACAATGTTCAGTTGAAGCCCAATATACATACCAACTGTATGAAAATAAGCATACGATTCAATCACTTTTTTAAGTCTACATATCAGGAAATTGAGAAAAGGTCTAAATTATTTTTTTTTAAAAGAATTTTATTGAGATAAAAATCTACATACTATGCAATTAACTCATTTAAAGAATATCAAAGTTTTTTGTGTGTTCAGGGGATTGTGCAACCATCACCACCATTTAATTTTAGAACATTTTTATCTCCCCAAAGAGCAACTCTGCATCAGTTAGTGTAGATTTTCATTTCATCCCATCTCCAAGATACCCTTCCATGCCTAACTTCCATTAATCTACTTTCTGCTCCTATACATTTGCTCATTCTGAACCCTGCCCGTAAGAAGAATCATACAATATATCATCTTTTGTGCTTCTAGCTTCTTTCCCTGGCATAATTTTTTTTAAGAGTTAGTTGTGCATCAGTAGTCCACTCCTCCTTTATGCCAAAGAGTATTTCATTGAATAGATGTACCGTATGTTAACTATCCATTTGTCAGCTGATGGATATCTGATTTATTTCCAACTTTTGACTCTTTTGAATAATCCCACTGTAAGCATGCATGTGTAAATTTTACTGTGAACATGTTTTCATTTCTCTTGGAGAACCTAGGAGTGGAAGGAATTTCTGGGTGATAAGTCAATTCTTTTTTTCTCAATTTTTGAGTGGTTGCCAGATGGCTTTTCAAAGCAGTCACACTGTTTTACAGTCCCATTGGCAATATATGATAGTTCCAATTTCTCTACATTTGTGCCAACACTTATTATTGTGTGTCTTTTTTGTCTGAGACATCCCACTGGGTGTGAAGTTGAATGTTAGTGTTTAGATGTGAGTCTCCCTCACAATCAATGCCACTGAGCAATTTTTCACGTTGGCCATCTGTATACCTTCTGTGGTGAAATGTTTAATCAAATCCTTTGTTCATTTAAAAAATGAATTATTCATCTTTTCAATATGGAGTCATAAGAGTTCTTTTTGATTGCCCGGATACAGCCCTTTCCCAGATACATGACTTGCAAACATCTTCTCCCATTCTGCAGATTCACCCACTTTCTGGTATTTGAAGAATATTTTTATCTATCTATTTACCTACCTACCTACCTATCTATCTATCTTTGGACATAGAGACTAAAGCTTTTTCTTTATAGTGGAACATCTCAGAGAAATTTTTCTTACAGCCTAAATTAATTTTCTAATATAGTATTAAAAATATTTGTTATTCTTTGGTAATCTAAAATACGGATTTGAAGTCCCAGTTTCTTGATGTATGTTATCCCTGGTTCACAGTCTCATGCCTGAATATAAACTTCACTTATTCCACCTGTACATCACAGAGACTCGTGAATAGAACTGAAGCATTCTGATCTGGAGGGTGACATACTTTTATGGTACAAATTAAAGAAACAAAATTAATACAGTTTTCCAAGTAACAGAAACTAGGGTAAATTCACTATATCGTAAGTACCTATTCATTTTCCTTCCTCTCCGAATGTCTGTAGTGTGTGATGTTTTATTGCTGGCACATTAAAAATGTTGTGCAAAAATTATCAGTTTTATCTTTTCCTGCTTTTACTTGGCCCAAACTTGCTCTGCAGAGCCTGTTTCTTTTCCTACCTTTAACAAAACTTTGCTGCTGGTGGGAAAAAAAATCATCAGACTTTTTGAGGATGGAGAAGATAAAAATAAAATAAACGGCAAGGTATTTTTCTGCTCAGTGAAAAAACTGTCCTCCCTGTGACTTTAAATTACAGTACGGATGACGTCACTATCGAGATGATGTTTTCTCCAGGTGGAATCAAACCAAGGCCGACTGGAGTTTCTTGGCCCCCTGGGACTTGAACGTGTATACTGAGAGAGTATTCACTTCAAAAGGGTCATTTGTAAGAACGGACGACTCTGCGTCCCCTTCTTTCGTCCTGCCAATTACACCTGTACGCGTGCTTACTTCCAACCCTCAAATCCACGCACACTCCGCAGACTGGCTGGTTTCTGCAGCTCAGAGATTCCCCCTCCCGTTTTGGCCAAGGATCCCGCATTCATGTGACCGCTGTGCAGTGCTGCTCAATGAAATGCTCTGAAAGGCCTGCCAGCTCACCCAATTTTCCATGAATTAGGGCCCGACACTTCAATGAGAGGAAAGACAATGTCTGAAAGCCTGCCAGCCCTGGCTGCAGGCCTAGTCCGTGTCAGGGAACTTCCACCAGCTACCCTGAGACGCAGCGCTTCGCAGTTCTCAGACCACGAAACAAACAGAGCCTTCTTCAATACTTTCAATGCTGGTTGCGGTTAAGGCCGCCAGGATGTTTTCCCAGCCCCTGGCACCCAGTGGCTCCAGACTGTGACAAGAAAGTTTTTTGTTGTTGTTATTTTGTTTTGTTTTTATTTTTATGAATGGCCTTGGTCGAAAACGCAGACGGAAGCATAATACTACTGCCATTCATAAAAAAGGAGAGGACACACGCTGCTGGCTGGGAGGATTTTTGGACACCACACACACTTCAAGGCTCGTATTTTCCTTGAGGCATCTCTTAGCTTAGAACTAAGTGTTGATCTCTAGAAACCAGCTCCTCAGAGTCTTGGCACTGGAAAGCTGACTGTCCCACTTTTATAAGGACCGAATAATACTGAACGGTGCATGGAATCGGTCAAGACGTTACCGTGTTGTTCACCCACCTTAATAAATGACTAATATTCTGCACATCCATTTCGTACACAGAGGAATAGATGTGCAAAATATTTTATATTTTCAACATCTGCCTCTTTGTGACTGGGAGGGCCAAAGCCTTATTACTTTCATTTTCTTACAAGGAAACTAAAGCATAGGGAATTTGGACGATCTCCTTGAAATCATTTTCTTGCTTTTTTGGAAATCATTTTGTAAAATCAAAACAACTAGGCTCTATTAATTCTCTTGATCTGTAAAATGTTTGGAGGAAACACATTGTGTTCCTTAAAAAAAAAAAGAGAAAAAGAAAAAAGAAAGAAGTCAAATCCAGAGCCAATTCAGGAGAAGCTGCATTTCCTGGCTGTGACTCCACCTCCGGATTACCCCCTCTCCGGGGTCTCTCAGGACTTTCCAGGGCCGAGGCTGCCGAGGGAAGCCCGCGGCTTGCTCGGCAAGGCCCGCACACCCTCTCCTAGGCTGCTGATGAAAAGTGAATTTCAAGGGACAGGAATTTGGCCCACATATCCATCTGCCCTGCCTCCCTTGGAGATCTGTCTTTCCTAGTGACTGTCCTATTGAACAAACAACAAAGCCTTTCAACTTGCTTGTTTCGACAGTCGTGATGGTTCTCTTTCTGATAAGCCTGTGCACGTTGAGGGTTTATGTGGTGTAGGCACTTTGTAAAGCAGGCATGCGAACAGCTCAGTGCGCTGAGATTTCCAGTTCATCATATGAAGGGACTGGGAAGCCATGTGAAAAGCTTGTAGCGCTGGGTGTGGTGGCGCAGGCCTGTAATCCCAGCACTCAGGAGGCTGAGGCAGGAGGATTGCCATGAGTTCGGGGCCAGCCTGGGCTACATAGTGAGCTCAGCCTGGGAACTATACAGCGAGACCCTGTCCCAAATGAACAATCACACAAACCAAACCCCCCCCCAAATTAAAATTAAAATGAAAGCTTGTAGTGAAAACCTTCTATTCTCCAGTTGCATTTAACTTCTGAAATCCAATGAATGAAAAAGAATGTCCTCCCAGAATAAAACATCATCATCACCACCCTCACTAGCACCAAAGGACTGTGAAGAAATGCTGCAAATGAAAATAATATTAAAATAAAACTGTGAGAATAGGAAGATCCCATCAATGTAATGTATCATGGAAGGTGAAGAACCTTTTCTCACCACACAAGACTTCACGGCTTCTGCCAGTAGCTCTTATAATGGACTAGCTCAACAGCAATGAAGGGCAATGCTTAAGCAAAGACATATTGTTAAAGTTTACATAAACAGTTTAAAATCCAATACACTAAAACAGTACAAAGCGTATGAAAAGGGAGGAACATACTTTTAGATTTCCGAGATCATACAGAAAACCAGCATTCTTCATGAAAAAAAAAAAGGAAGAAACCTTTTAAATTCTTACAGTCACAGTGTACTTTGGTTTTGAAGACTGTGTGGAAAGACCCTTGTGCAGGAAATGGCCTGTCATCCCACCTATCTACTTTGGAATAATTAAGGACTTCCCCAGCCCTCTTGAGAATACAAATACTGGTCCTAGGCAGTCTAGGTATTTTAAAGCTAATACTTAAGACAGCTAAGCTCCTCCTATCGCAGGCACTGGAAGAAAATGGGTCCTAACAAAGAACCTAGACATTAGTAGTTCATTTTAATACTAATCTGAACAGTAAATGAAAAGAGGCTTAAATTTGGCTTACCAACTTAATTTTTTAAAAAGTAGAGTACAATGCATAGTAAAGCAAGCATCTTAAGCGGACCTTAGGAAAGAAAGCAGTTCTTCAGCTGCACCTCTGTGGAGATGGATCTCTAGGTCTTCTGCAAGCAGCCAAATCTGAATCTAATTATACTTTTTGGTTTTTGCTAGCTGGTAGCAGGAAGTTTGCTCCCTTTGTGTTAGAATCATATGAGCATTACTCAATCAATAAATACTCCTATTCTCTAATATAATCTTTTTTTTTAAAGGTAGACTGTTCTAAATTCTCATAAGAAGATGGGCTAAGATGGATTCCCTAGCTATTTACATGAGAGAACTTAAAAACCCTAATTTCTGTAGAAATAAAAGACCTCTAAAATCTAACTCTT